ATCCAGGCAGGGACGGGTACATCTCTATTTTAACCATTTAACCTAGAATGTCAAATTGCTGTTCAATCCCCAATAAAAAAAAATTTATTCTGTTTTGTTTTGTAGCATGTTTTTTATTGTACAAAATCAGTACAAAATATTTATTTAAAAAAAACATACAGCTTCATTGATTTACATAACACATCAAAATATAAAGAACATTGTACATCCCTCAAAAAAAAATACATAAGATACACAGTACATAATGTTTTCAAATCAATTATACTGAACGAATATGGCACTATGGGTTTGATAATGTCGATGGGAATCGTTCAATGTATCGGTTCTCGAAGTCCTGTATTTCTTTGGGAGACAGTTCATCACCATTACCCTTATAGTGTCTTTATGTAAAGGATGGGTGGGAGCAGAAGCAGCTGTAGTAGTAGTAGTAGTAGTAGTAGTAGTAGTAGTAGTAGTAGTAGTAGTAGTAGTAGTAGTAGTAGCAGGCGCGTACGCAGGGGGGTTGGGGTCGAACCCCCCCCCCACTAAACGAAATATCGGTCTGCCAAATTTTATTATCGGGACCAAAAAATAATAATTAAAAATGTCCTCCCCCCCCCCCCCCTTAATCGGCGGCTGGCTGAGTCGTTGCGAAATTTTCGGCGCGATTTTAAAATTTTAAAACACCCCCTTGAAAAAATCCTGCGTACGCCACTGAGTAGTAGTAGTATAGTACTAAAAGGGAAATTAGAAGAAAAATGAAGAAAAGGAAAATGGGAAGAAGAAAAAGAGAAGAGAAGAGTATAGAAGAAGGAGAAGAAGATGAAGTAGAGGAAGAAGGAGAAATAGTAGAAGAAGAAGAAGAAGAGAAGAAGAAGAAGAAGAAGAAGAAGAAGAAGAAGAAGAAGAAGAAGGAGAAGGAGGAAAAGAGAAAAGGAGGGGGAGAATATGAAGGAGATAATTTGCTAAATGAGTAAAAGAAGAAAAGACAACAAGAAAAGTAAAGCAGGTTAAAGCAGATATCACAGCATCATTTACAATGTGATTTTTTTTAAATTTTCGATAGCACACTTAGAAACGGGTTTTTGTAAGAAGTACAGGTCCAGATGAACCAATTTACAGCAATTCCTTTCATTGGCCAGGTAATTGCCCACCTTAAATTAAAGACCAAATAGTGCCATCAACTCATGTCATCGATTTCTAAAAGTGTAATTTTAAGAGTAATCCCTTGAATTTATCAATGTTGTCCCATAGTGAAAATCGATTGTCCAAACAAGGAGCTCGAGCTTCTTCAACATCGAGCGTCTTTGAATTTGTATAAATTACTAAATCGATGGAGTATAAAGCTTTTTTTACGGTGGACTTGCAAGGTTTATAGAAGCGTTGACCCCCCCCCCCCCCACCACCCATTTTGTTGTTGTTGTTATTTTATAGTTTCTAGCTTAGTCATTTATTTGAGGCGAGATAAATGGTTCTGAATATCAGCTTTTTTAAAGGTATAGGTAGACATTAGACATTTACCAATGATAATTATGTTGGTCAGTTCAAAATATTCTGAAGGGAACGGAGGCTAAACTGAAACAAGGAACAATAAGGCACTTTAATGATAATACACATCATATTTCAATATTACTGCTGATATTTTATAGGACCTATATTTACAAGAACAAAATATTGATGCGCATATTATTGAAGGGAGGCGCGATGGCTCAGTGGTAGAGCAGTGGTCACGGAACCGGGAGGTCCCAGGTTCGAAACCAAGTCGATGCTCTAGTGTCCTTTGTTAAGGCGTTAATCCTCATCACCAAATCTCTCGGAGAGGATTTAAAGCCGTTGATCCTCTGGCTGCTTACTTACAAGCATACACATGCTTTCCTAGCAGGCACGTAAAACAAAAACGAAACTTCAATGCACAGGACTGCTTGAATCACGGGTATATTTCTGTAATTTTTCTGAGTATATTTCTGGCCGGTGGCGAAACTCTACTGGGGAACCCGGGAAATATGCCCATCATAAAAACAGAAAGCACAAAAAAGGGAGGAGGGGGGAGGGGCAAAGTGGTAGCCATGATAGGTAACGTGAAAGCAAGATGATACAAACCGCCCCCCCCCCACCGTTCATTTAAGTACCTTGTCCCTTACCCTCGCCGCCCCTCCCCTTCATACAACGCCCTTATCACCCCCACCCCACTTAATCATAGCTGGACCCACACTACCCCATCTAAAAATCAAAGAATGAAGACAAATTAATTTAATTGTTTTGAGCAAACTGAAACTTTATTGTGACAGGATTTTTTTAACTTCCGCCTCCGAGGAGGGTTGGCAATAAATTGAAATCTTCCCCCATAACAAACATCGCCCTAATAAGCTTAAATGGCTTCTCTAGATCGATAGGAAACTGGTAGTTTAGTGGACAGCAGGTCACTATTACCATGTTTCTTTTGTCCCCTTTCTTGTACCCTTTTGTTGGAGGGTTCTTATAACCCGCAAGGAGCTGGTTGTTCCCTATTGTTCCCCCTGATAAAGACCACAAGACAGTCTTTTTTTATCGATTTTATTAACGGTTCGCACGTTCTTCCTCTTTTTCATCTTAGGTCTCTGTCCTATTACAAAGTTTTGGTATGGGGTCATGAGTCAAATGAAAATATTGGAAGCTTATGCGATTTTACAATATTCTATGATCGTTGTCGCGGTTGAAAATTGAGTCTCAAGAGATAAAATTGTAAATAATAAACTCTTTATGTTGTATAGCTCCCTCTTAATACTGATATTACTTAAGCTTTAAAACAATGTTTCTTCACTACAATCGACAGATTTGCTCACCCGTTTGGAAATTATATATCAGAACTGCATATACTGAGATTTTCATGGTCGCAGCTATCATGGAATGGCCGTAGGCGCTATTTGAAAATTATCGAATTTTACCGGGAGCACCGGTAAATTTTGATATTAAATCTTTCTCGAAAGCAGAAGTGTTTTTAATAGGGGCTAAATTTTCTAGTGCCTATTATACATCCATGTTTTAGATATGATTTATAAGCTTATCAGGAGTGCTTGCAGCGAAGCCAAAGACTTTTAAATTGAAGCCCCCTGGGCAAAAGAACAAATTCGCTCCCACACTCACACGCACACGCAAATTAATCAAGGAAAACCCCTTTCATCAGAAACATCAGGGCGCCACCTACATATCATATTTCATGTCGATTAAAAGTTATCACAAATGTAAGACATAATTATTCATATCATTACCAAGTTTTGTAATTTGTTAAGTATGTGAACAAATGATTTATTCCGATTTATGTTTCTTGAAGATGTGACACATCAAAGCTCACATCTAAAAGTATTTAACACAGGCCCCAATTCGACCAGTCCACCTTTCATTCTTGAGTTATACGAAAAACACACAAAACATCACATTTACAAGGGGCATGAATAATTTAGTTGTTAACTTGATGCATACATTGAGCAGGTGCGCCCTTTCTCCACCCCCTCAACAGTCCACATGTTTGTCAAGACAGAGCTATAAAACCTAACGGATTAGTAATGGGATTAAGGAATCCGTTAAACCGTTATAAGTACAGGTGATTATAATCGAGTTTGGCGCCTGCATGAGCCTTAATTGTAAGTGTCTTATGAAGCCGTCCTTTGGGGATTGTGCCTATATATAGGGTTACATTAGCCATAACAAACGAATAGGAAATTGATTCGGGGCTGTCTGGTGCCTAATGCGTTAAGTGTATCGTGACGTCTTAAAGTATAACGATTCCCTGTTTATCAATTTATAGATAACATCACTGCATGTATGATGCCTGATTTCAATTTTAATATAATTTACTGGCCTATTCTGATATGTTTTACAGTGAAAAATAAAAGCGGTTTGATTGGGTCTAAAATCCTTTAAAAAGATATTCAGTTGAAGAAAAAAAAATCTGTAGAATAAACGCAATACATGGAACAATGGATAAGTTATACGCAGTGGGGTGATAAAGTAGGTCTTATTAAAGGACATGGAATCACAGTGTTACCACAACAATGGCAAGGTGGCATGTAGAATTTGTTATTCTAGTCGATATTCTATCATTACAAATCTGTTCTGGCACTCCCGAACAAAAGGGTGTGGTTTAGGGATGGATGGCCGCCCATTCCTCTGTCAAACCGATATTGAAACCGACTCCGCACCGATTCCAAACTGAGCTCGCAGCAATGTAATAATTCTTTTCGGTCTGTTGTCGGTCTGGGGCCAGTTTCTCGAAAATGTCATAAGTCTAAGTTCGAGGACATTGCGTAGAAAGTACACGTATTAGTTATATATAACACACGTTTCGATGGGATGTCCGACTCTGTTAGACTTACGACGGTTTCGAGAAGCACCCCCCCCCACCCGAGTCACGTTGATGTCACTGGGGCATTATTGTTACCCCCAGCCCCATAAAAAACAAGGAAATTAATTATTTTATTCCCAAAAGGTTGCAAACCCCTGCAGGTATTTCAATAGAGCATCATTTGGTTTTATTTCAACACATATCCCTTTTGCCTTCAGAAAACAAGTGAATAAGGGGGAGGGAATATATCTCCTGTCACAATTCCTGGCTTTAATTATACGTCCATGCATAAAATGAAGATTTAAAATCATTCTTTAAAATTATAGAACAATAAATTTCATCTGTCATAATTATAAGCCTCCATGATGGATGATTAGCAGAAACTCGAGTGTTATGTAATCTCTTTAGATTTATGAAAATGTATCTCGATATAACTTCATATTTTAGCTTCATAAGAGGAAAACAAATGTTTGCGATTTGTTACCTGTGTTCTAATCTAAACAATTCCGGCATCTTGAAATGGTCTTCAGGCAAAGAAAACAATTCAGTGAATATTCCTCTGGAGTTTTTAATTATTTTTCTAAAATTAATTTTGTTTGTAACTTTCGTTGTATCAATACTATGTCTTCGAGATTATTGCATGGCGGCGCTGCTTGCGTTTGGGAAATCCTATATTTCGCATCTGCTTTGCATTTTTGTGGAGGCACTCGCGAACTACACACAAGCAAATTACACATAAACGAATTGTACGTACGACCAATGACTGTGTGTGTGTATCGTAAATCTCCATTCATTCATTCCCGCATCTCGAGAGCGAAGCGGACTCCTTCCCTATCCGTCTTACTACGCGACGCCGCGCAGTACATCATTGCACCTGTTTAGCGAATTGCAGTATGGTGTGGGTTTGTTGATTTTGTGCTGTACATCGAAAAGGAGATGCTCCATTTGTGATTTCACTCTTTAAGATTTTATTATTGTGAAAGCAACCTGCCCATGGACTGAAGATACACAGGGAGGAAGATATTAAAGAATTCCAAGAGCGGGTTTGCCATTTGAGAGCGAGAAATGGCTGAATTCGACGGGAATATAGTAACGGAATGGCTCCGATCGCTCGATATGATGGCCTACTCGCAGGCTTTCTTGGATAACGGGTATGACGAATTGGAAACATGCAAGCAAATTGGACCAGAAGATTTGGACGCGATTGGCGTTGTAAACTTGGAGCAGAGAAGCGACTTGCTTATGGCAGTCGACAGGCTCCGAGAAGAAGGAGGAACGGCCGTTTATTTCACCCTCGTCGGGCCATCCTCCGACGATGATGATGACGGAGGAAATACCGTTGACGAGCTCTCGACGGGGAGGGTTCCGAGCGTGGACTGGACCGGCAGCGATGCGGGGTCGGCCGACTCCAGGGCTCCGCTAGTGAGCAGGGTCGGGCGGACGCCATCGATGGAATCGGCAGATGCAAATATGGGATTAGGATTAGGATTAGTAGGGTTACCACATGTGTACCGGGATGCACCCTGTTTACCGAATAGAGGATTATACCGGGAGAGGAGAACATCAGCAGATAGCAGAGTTTTGAGTAATACACCCGACATACTACGAAAGGTAAGTAGATCTACCATTCTCAAGTCATATTCACCCTGTTCACAGAGTCACAGATTTGTGGTTCACAAATGGCACTCGAGTCTTATTGTTTCCATTTCAACGACATTGACATGGATTTGAATATATCTTCAGAATATGCAGGGTAAATTATAATATGAAATATCATCTTGTATCTCAAATCTGAAGAAAGCAAGAAGCAACTCTGTATCCTTTACAATGATTCATCATGTGCACTAATGCAAAGACTACACTGTGTGTAGGAGTAACTTATGACTCACGATCTCTCCTCACTTGTTATTCATGGTAAAGACTTTGTTAAGGTCAAATGATTAGATTACTTTAGTAATAGTAGGTTGGAATGTTAAAACCACATATACTGTAAATGGTTACTCTCCTTGATGATAGGGTGTGAGGATATCAAGATTTTGAAACATACATTTTCATATTTTAGATCTATGATATGTTTGGAATGAGCAATCTTGTGTGTATTTTATGGATGGCCTGAAGTTGAAAGATTTCCTCTTATAACACTTAATGATAGTACACTGTAAATGTACCCTAATCTGTGTATTACAAACCCTGTACCAGATGTTGTAAATTGGAGGGGGGGGGGGGTCATTTAATCATTAAGACATTGTATTGAATGCTGAATTCTCAGTCACATAGTCATAGGCTTTCCACATGATCCATCTGCTTCCCATAGCATATTATTATTGTTATTATATTATATTATTATATTATTATATATATAAATTGATAATAATACATTTTTTAAGGGGGGGGGGGGGTGGTGGGAGGGATTTCATGTACGGAGATGCATCTCCTAAAAAAAAATGTGGGGGAGGGGGGTTGGGTCAACTGTCCCATTGCACCCTTTAGGGTAGAAAATAGAAGTATCACATGCAGGTTGCAAAAAATTGTAGGTTGTCGCTCAGCTACAGGCAAGCTTTTATTTAGAGAGAGATAGAGAGGGAGAGAAGGGGGATGAGAAGAGAGAGAGAGAGAGAGAGAGAGAGAGGGGGGGGGGGGGGGTGAGAAGAGAGAGAGAGAGATAGCACTGAGTGGGGGGGGGGGGGGGGGGGACATAAAGTATAATTATCAATTTAGTACACATGATAAGTATCCTAGATTAGTTAGGAATACACACGTAAAATGCTCATAGGAGACTTCAGTTTTGATCAATCTGGGTTAAACTAAAGGGGGTTTCCCCCAAGATTTACAGCAGCACCCTATAAAAACCTGAAAGTGCAATACTTGGGAAAAAAAAGTCTGTCGGTGTCACTCCCTGTTATACTCTAATTGGATGTGGAATATACTTCAGAGATTAATTCAGGAGGCCATCATAAAAGATATTTGTTACCATGGTGATCTAGCTCAACATCATTAAGCTCATTCTTGTATTCCTTTTACTTGAGTGCCTCATCTTCGTATTATTGTTTTGTAAGAAACGGGAACGGAGATGGGGAGATCATGATGGTTAAAAGGGATAAAAGGGAGAGACTTTGCTTCTAAAATATTATTGCATACTGTACATCATTTTGTAAATCTTGTTTTGTGAAGCTTAACCATCCTTCAATATCGATTAATTTATGACATTATGGATGATAAAAGATGTTTGGTAGATTGGTATTGTAGATTATGATTATCATTATGAACTCTTTAGGAGCAGGAAGAATATGCAAACGCCTACCATATATACATGTAAGTAACATTTTTCCTAATGAAAGATTGATAATTGGATAGGCTACATCCTCTCTACATCTACATGTATGTATAATTGTATATATTTCAGACAAGCACTAATTTTGATCAGATTCATAACTTCCCTATTTTTAATCGGACATTGCTCAAACTGTCACTAATTTTTTTCTTTTGTTTTTCTGCTTTCATTAAAACTGACTTAAAATCAGGGTGGACTTCCCCTCCAAAAGTCCTGGGACCCGTTTCACAAAACTTATCATCAGTGACAAATGATAGTCTTTGTTATAAGCTACTGAAATCCTTGCTTCTGATTGGTTATCAGCAGATTTGTCACTGATTTTTGTCATTGATTTTTGTCATTTATCATTGAAAAAGGCTTTGTGAAATGCCCCCTGTTCCTTTCACTGCATTGTACTTCTACTAGAGGTCATGATGACGGTGGCTCGTCTTGCAGTGCATTGACAGTAGACAGTGTTGATATTGCTACCTTTATCACCAAGCCATGCCGACCCAATCATTTTTAATTGCTATCTGCACCTGTTTGATCTGTTGCCTGCCTGCAATACAGTCGTTAGGGCCATGCGATGTCCCTGGCTTTAATGACCTTATTACAGTTCATACTTCTGCATTGATGTTGATTCGTTTCTTTGACATGGATGGAGATTGATTGAGTTTGTTGACATTTATGCTTGTTTTTATGATAATGCTTGGTGCTCTGCAACACGTCATGCAGGAGTTATTAGTTAGGAAATTGAGGTGAATATGGTACATGTACATTATGTTGATTTTCCCTAGTGACAAAAACAAGAGCTACACAATTTAGTGCCTTATCCAAGCTTGTATATTACTTGTTCTCTTTAAAATGCCCCGACCGTGTTTGGAGGCAAAATAAAAATGCAACTTGCAATTAGTGTACAACTGTATAACATGCAGGGCAGCAACAAATAAACAGGGGCAGTATTAAAGCAATTTAGCTCTAGAAAGTTAGAAAAGTGCCTGTAAAGAAACGTAATCTGTGAGGAAATAGGGTGCCCAAGACACTGTATTTTGTTCATGATCCCATACCAGTTTGTGAATTCATATGTGCCACTGGAAGGTGTAGATCCTTAATGTACAAAGTCATTAGGCCTGTCCTCACTATCTCGAGATTGCCAAATATCCAGCTATTTGAACTATCCCGATTGCAAACTATCCAGCTAATTTGCATCTTCATCAGACCGAAATAGCAATTAGAAGGATATTTGGTCAGGATTGTCATCCCAAGCTATCTTGGGATAGTTTGCAAAATATCCTACTATTTGGCAAAATATCCAGCTATTTGTCCCGTACATCTTCACTAGACCGAAGATTCGCAATATGCGCTAACGCTGAGCAAAATATCTTGAGCTAATTTCTCAAGGTCGAGTTTCAAGTTTCGAGGTCGAATCTCGAGGTAGTGAAGATGCGATTTGTTACTTTGGGATTATTTCCCAAATCAGAAATAGCGGGCTACCGGTATTTGGCAATCTCAAGATGATGGAGACGTGCCTATTGTGACTGTGTAAAACTGAGTGAAAACACCCCAAATATCTCCTTTCGGACTTGTCATAATGTCATGGTAAAACGGCCATTAGTTGTAAGAGCAGCAAGATATTCTGTGTAAATGACTGGCTGGATGCAAATTTTAGAGGTACACATGCAGTCTACGTACACAGACAAGCAAACATAAGAGAAACAACGTAGTGGCACACAAGAGTGGCCCCTTTACATATCTGTACCCACAAATTATTCTTAGGCCTGACTTATCAGTAGCATTTTTATTTTGACACGTTATACTGTCATGTGTGTGAATGAGGCTCATGTTACACAAAATTTATCTTGTTTCAAGAGCAAGAATTGATATTGCTTGGTTACCATGTCATCAGCTGTCTGTGCATGTCAGCTAGACTGGCAAGATGGAGCCCTGGAGCCTCAACAGTGACAGGCAACAAGGGAGAATCTCAGCATGCTCTGCTGGTCAGTGGTGGGTAGGGGGGGGGGGGGGGGGGGGGGGGAGGTTGGGGGGTGGGGGAGGGGAGAGAGCCCCCACAGGGAATTCAGGGAGCTCCCTTTTTAATTCCACTCTGCCATTCTAGTTCACCCTTGCAATGTCATTCTACTCCATGTCTTGACATTCTCCTCCCAGTTTGTTTAGACCCCCAAAACAACTTAAAAAAACTATTTTGTCAGTGCCCCCTTTTTGCAGAATCTCGAATCCACCCGTGTACTTTTCAGTATTTTTATGGTTAGGAGAGAGAAGTTGGAGACTTGGAGTGTATGTTTATGTAAACTTTCAATAAACTAATAAAGGAATGACAAGTTGAAAATTAATAAATTCATGAGAAAGTGCTTTTGTCCTTGGTATGTTTTAAATACTATTTATTTTTATTTGACAAATCATTTGTGACAGTGTTTTCATTAATGTTTTGTTTAATCTACATGAAAAAATATAATTTTGAATTCCTTTTGATTATAAATACTGCAGATATGCCAGGAAAATTTTAGATTTAATGCAATTTTGAGGGCAACTTTTGAAGAAGTACAGTAGCCCTTTAACACCAATATTTGACTTGCTTATCATGCTCAATGATTTTGTGCATTCAAAACATGCCAACAGAAACTATTTAAATTAATTCAGATACTCATTTGTCATTTACTGGGATTTTTATTATAGTTTTGAATGCAAATTGCTCTCCACCCCTGTCAATATTTTTCACTGAGTTCCTGTTTCAGAGCCTACACCTGCAAAATCTGTGCTATCCTGTAATTCTATTAAAATTCATTTGGACATTTTTGTACCAGTGATTCAACAATTAAGGAACCAATTGTGGATAGCATTGTAACACGTTGCCCGTTTAGCACTTAACTCATATGCTTTATACAGAGTTAACCCCTTCTAACTCTGAACAGACTATATAATGAAATATTGATTTTTAATGAACCGACCGTCTTTTGATAACATTTATATAGAAGCTCTCAGATTCGGTTTCCTCATGTCATTATGAATACAAATTCTATAGACTTGATCTATAGACCGTTGATTTAAAATTAAACCTAGAATCTAAAAGAGGAAGCACAAAAACTGTTAAGGGCTTCCATATACATGTAAGTACACATTTGAACAATTTGATGAAATTTAATATTGAAGATAAACTTCCAGTAAATTCTTGTAACAAGAGGACACATGTGTATCATCCTTTTTGTATTTGTGATTTGTTGTAAAAGTATCTTTGTTTAGGGGAGGGGGGAGGGGAGGGGTTGCACCTCTAGTCAGTCCAGTAGAATTAGCTGAGAGTTAAATTTGAGCGATGAACGATTTAGCTCTCGAAAGCTCAAAAAGTTGTCTGGTAAATTGTTAAAAGAGCTTTGGTAACAAAGTTACATATACATGTACTATAAAT